CCCAAAGAACATCTGTTCTGTTACAGGTTTAACCAGTTTCTGATCACTTAAACTGGTTTATGTATAATATCTGTCCATAGCTAAAAGGTGACTTGTACTGTATAATTCTGGGGCTAGCAGGAGGTAATTTCAGCCCCAGTACAACTTTGAGCTGGAGTGCTCAGCCTTTCAGTTCTGTGGGCTAGATGAGTGGTGTAGGGTTGGTTTGAGGCCCTGATTTAGCATGGGATTGGTACTTACTGTCCCAATGCCACATCCCAGATTTAGTCATATGCCAGTCTGACCCCATGTGCTGGATCTGACAGTGCATTGCCGTGACCCCAGGTTCTGGATTCAGCTGCAGAGTGACCCCACACACTCTGCCCCACTGTCACAGGTGCTATCTGCCACACACAGACACATCCTACAGGGCTCCCCACGGGTTTGGAAACTTGGCAGCAGTGAAGTGGCAATTCATGCTGCCACTTTTCCCATACTACCAAATTTCTGGACTGTTGGGTAAGCCCTGCAGTCCAGACAGCATGGGTTTACAGGCTGTGTCTAGCCTGCAGGTTGGAAGTTGAGCTGCAATGATTTAGAGCAACCAGCACCATACCTAGACTACTGGTGGCCCTGGGCAAACTTTTAGTATCGGGACCCCCTTTGCCAGAGATAACCATCATCATCATCATCATCTTCACCATTTTCAGGCCCCTTTTCTGTCAGGGCCTCAGGAGCGACCTCAGGATTTCCATAATTTGGAAGTAGCTTCCAATAAGGAACATCATACTTAACCCCATACCTCTTTTTGTTTGTCCACACCTTTTGGCACAGGTTGGAAGGGGTTTTGTGGAGATAATTATGCTACCTCTACACCACCAAGAGAGTCTCTCTTTACAATAAAAATCCACAAGTTGCTGTTTGAGGTGACAATATGTATTCACTGAACCATCAGAGCTGTACAAAAATGACAGAATGTAATTGTGAAAATTCAGTATATTCACTATAAATTATAATGAAACAGAAACAATGTCCAAACTTTTCCACTTTATTTTGATGACCATTTAGATATATTTACATTTATTATTTTTAACAGTAGACAAGTGAGATACTATATTTATTTGTAAGTTCCATAGTATAATACATCACATCATAAAGGCTCTTAATTATCCCTATCCTATACTATGGAATGATATGGGCAACTACCATTTCTATTGCTAATTAAATAATAATTTAAAAGAAAAGGTCCACTCATGTCAAGAAGTTTGTTTCACAGTCTGGCATCTTTCTATGCCTTTAAATGTAAGAAACTGTGTTTACTATGCTCAGCTTAAGTTACTTCATGCTTTTCATTAACGGTGCTGGAAAAACTGCAAACTTCCATGTTCTAGCTGAACCCAAACCCCAAGCTGTTTACCTGGAGTATTTTTTGAGAAGTGGCATGGGATAAGACAGAAAATATTCACAATGTATTTAAAAGGGTTGCCTGGATTTTTGAACAGTGAACACCTAATGTAAATCCTCATTTTGTTTCGTTTGGGAATATTTAGCAACTCTTTAACATGCCCCTCTGAAATCTGCCAACTGTCCTATCTAGAAAGAGCCAAGCTACTTTAGTTTTTCTGTGCAAACAGATCATCTCTTGCATGGATTTCCTAAAAATGAATCTGGTATTCAAAGCATGAAGGGATACATATCCTCATCAAGAAAAGAAATATTTATTCCTTCATTTTGTGTCATATGGGGCTGCCACTTTGCCTTGATGATTAGTTTTTAAATTAAGAAAATTTGCTCTTGCAGTTAATGAGGATCAGCAGAGAACTATGGAAACAAAAAATCTTCATTTGTTAAACATCAGATATTCATTGATTGCCGTTTCAGTCAGTCACCTTTTAGTACATTTGGAAGGAATTCAAAATTACAAAGATCAACTAGCTTTAGCTAGATGCTGCTAGAGGAGCTAAAATGTGTTTGGGCTCTGAATATTAATTACCCCGCTGTTTTAAAGGTTAGAACAGTCACTTTCTCCCGGGGAGGTCATAGTTCTGATTTAATAAAGGCTTAATTATAGAATATTATAGAACATTGCAATGAACTGCATCAACAAAACCAGTGAGTGGGTTATTCTTTCTTTGACAAACCTAAAAAAGGATAATAAAGGGATGTGAAAAAGAGAACAACACCTCTGTTGAAAAAACTTGTTCGGGCAATTATGAATTAATAGGTTTTTCTTCAGTGTAAAATGGAGCAGAGAAGATAGTACTACTATTATAACTACTGTGCTTGTCACTTCTAAAGAAGGTTTTATATAAAAGCTACATAAAAGGACATATTTTAGCAGTAAGATTATGATTCATTTTCTAGTAAATTACAGCAACTCTTTCGTGATGAATGCAGGTGCTTCTAAAACACTTGTTGGCATTAAATACTAATTAGTAATTGCTAATTAAATATGAAAAAGGGCTTTTGGTGAAGATAGTACATTTCATTTAATCATGGCTAATCTTGCATGTAGAAATGTATATCACATTAATTCAAGTTATATATCCCATATTTAAAGATTGCCCTTCACTTGATGTAACATCATTCCCAAGGATTTGATGTGATTTTGCTTTTAAACTTTGGAGCAGATTTTGCATGCATGCTTGGGGAATTTATCATAGATCATAATGAGTGGAATTCAAGGGCCATGATTTTAAACATGGTTCTAGCTAATTTCTTCTCTTTCTCTCTCCCACGTGTAAACATTTCTAGAGATTTTAAAATTGTCTTTGGAACCCTAAAATAATAACCAAGGCCAGTACCAAGACATTTGTACTGTCTTGCAAAGCAGTCAAAAGGGACATGATTGCATGCTTTTTATTTTTATTTTTTTTGTAAGGGGTAAAATGTACTCCACAGAGCACACACAGCTTTACCTCATACTAACATGACCCTAAGTTGCCAAGTGAATGTCACACAATCATTTCAATCATTCATTGGCAATTGATTGCCAGTGTCCTGTGACCTTGGTTTGGTTGTATTATGTGAAATGGACCTAGTAATTAGCTAAGAAATGCCAAAAAGTTGCTCCTTTTTTCAGCAAGGGCAGCTTGGCTGGATGAGCAACTGTCAGTAGTGTCTAAATCAATATTGGCTGTTTAAAAACTTTCCACCTGCTCTCAGGTATTGCTGCTAGAATTCTGACCTCCTGTTGTCTGATGGTCTAAGGACTGGAAAAATTAATAAGAAGTAAAATACATGACTATCCATTATAATTTGGAAATAGTTCATGGTCTAGTGTCTGAATTGCCCAGTCAGTATGGCATTAAAATGCTTTAGGTGAGCGGGCTTGAAAAGATAGAACTAATCATATCCATGCTCTTTAGTTGCTATTGTTCTAATTTGCAAGACAAGCTGTAAACATGTCGTGCTTCATTTCTAAAATCTTATAACTACAGTATAGAGGACAAAAATTAACAAAAATAGCTTTTCATGTACTTTCCAAGGAAAGAAAATAAACCTGCTTTGTTCAGTTGAAATCTGGATGCCAAGGTTTGAATCGCTGGAGACTTACTGCTATATTTTTAATAAATATGCTTTGTACAATTTGATCTAGTATTGTTTTTCAAAGGGCTTTTGTTATTGTGGGGTTTTTTTCTATAATTATAGAATCATAGGGAAGTAGGTCTGGATGGCCTCATGTGGCCTCATGTGGTCTTTTTGTCCAGCCCTTTGCTCAAGGCAGGATTATCCCTGACTAAACCATCCCAGCCAAGTGCTTGTCTGGTCTTGAAAATTTCCAGGGATGGACATTGCGCAACTTTTCTAGGTAGCCTGTTCAAATTCTTGATCATGCTCATTGTCAACAAGTTCCTCCTAATCTCCAAACTAAATTTCCCCTGCTGAATATTGAGGCCGTTGTTCCTAGTACTGTCCCCTTTCATCACAGAGGAAAGCCCACCTCCATCCTTTCTGCAATCACCCTTCAGGTATTTGAAAACTTTTATCAAATCCCTCTTCAGTCTTGTCTTTTTCAGACAAAACAACTTAAGTTTTTTCAGGCTTTTTTCATAAGTCTTATCTCTCTGGCCTCTGGTTATTTTTGCGATTCTGCACTGGACTCTTTCCAAGCTGTCCGCATATATCACAAAGTGTGGGGACCAAACCTGGACACATGTGTAAGTGTCCCCACTGTACAAAGATTTTATAATTGTAGAGCTGTTGCATGAAACAATATTTTTGACCAGGCCAAACGACATCTAAGTATGGAAGGAATCATTGTCCTTAGTAAAAGAACTGCTGTTCTAATTCTCCCTGGGTGTGTCTACACATGCCCCTGACTGCACATTTGGTACTGCACAGTCATTTAGCACTTGATTTTAATAAGAACAACTTACTGATGGAAAAGACAATGGGGAATTTTGTCATAAATGTAACATGTTAGATTCCCTAGGACACTTTTTATTTAGCAAGTACTAATGACTGTTCAGTACCCAGCAGTACAGCACAGTCCTGCCGGCCCATGGTTATTTTTAGATGCTATGTCACCAATGGTGCATGGTTATTTTTAGACATTATGTAGCATCAGGATCACAGTTTGTCCCTGCCGACACTACGTCACCATAGTGACAAGCTACCGTGACGTAGTTCATGGCTATGGCAATGTAGCCTCTTGAGTAGACACACTGTGTATTATGTTTGTATCAAATAGAAAGTGTCTCTGCATTTGTTTTTGGAATATCATTCATATACAGAGTTATAAAAATTTTAAAACCTTCTTCAGTGTTCATTGCTTCTCTGATAGACATTTCATCTGAGAGGGAGTAATGATTTTTCATTGATAAACATGGCTCATTCTACAGGAAAAATGTAGAAAATGCAGAATGATATTTATTGCTTACAGACATTGCAGTAGGACTTGAACTTTTCAAAAAAGAAAGTGAAACAAGAAAAGAAGGGACTATGTTCTGTTAATGTGCAAATACCCTAGAACTAATCATCTGGATGGTAAGATAAAATTGTCTTTTTTTGCCTTACAGGTTTTCTAAGTACTGGTGACCAAGCTGCAAAAGGCAATTACGGATTGCTTGACCAAATCCAAGCTTTACGATGGATTGAAGAAAATATTGGATCTTTTGGAGGAGATCCAAAAAGAGTTACTATTTTTGGTTCCGGAGCAGGAGCTTCCTGTGTTAGTCTACTGACCCTGTCTCACTATTCAGAAGGTAATAATCTTCTAGCAAAGTAAATATGGTCCTGCTACAATAAAGGTGAAATAAATCCTTTTGAAGCTAATGCTCTTTTTAAAACACTGAAGTTTTGGTAAGTGGAAGTACCAAGTGGAATTATTTAACATCAGCAAATCAAATTAAATAAATAGTGGCCAGGTTTATGGCCCCATTTTAGTAACCCTAAATTGTGCATCTTATTGTATTGGACAGTCAAATTTCACATTTAAGTTAGAGCTTTAAATAAAAAGTCTTCTAGAGAATCTAACGTGTCACATTTCTGCCAAATTTCCTATTGCCTTTTCCATCAGTAATTTGTCCTTATTAAAATAAACAGGGTACTGCACTTTTATTTGCAATACACCACTCTCCCTACTTCAATTATATGTTTTAATGTCTTAACTCATGCACGTCTTGTTCCAAAAGAACTAATCCTTATACAGGGAAGCTGATCCTTCTGTTCATATGTGAAAAAATTTCCTGTTGGCTTTATGAATTTGATATGCAAGACTTTTGCCTTGGGTTGTAGATGCAACAATAAAGAGCACAAATACCGATTGCTTTTCATAAAGATTTCAGTAGGTAAGACCACTGATAAGCAGACATAGGAAAAGATGCCATTTCTTTAAAACTGTGGACTATTTTATGCCCCTTTGCTCATCCAACAATATTAATTGTATTGAAACACCGGAAGAGGTATGTTATGATAGTAGAAAGTAACAGGAACTATCAGAACAAATACATGTTATATGGAACTCCCATAAATCATTCCTGACAATTTCATTTATTGATACAAATAGGGTATAACAAGTAATTCTGAGTAAACTCTTCTGGAAAGCAAACAGATGGAATGATACAAATCTTAACTAATCACAGCATTGAAAATTCATAATGTGCAGTAAGTAATAACTGCACAGTGTATTGATCATAGTTTTCACTATGCTTCAAGAGATTTGAAGTGTTTTGTATCTATCTTAGGCATGTATGGGACACGTATCACAGTATTTAAGTGTTTTGTACACTGTACACACATGATGGCCAAAGTATTTTGGTCTGAATATACAAATGATCATTTCATTGTCCCCACCAGGAGAAAAGAAACAGATGGGGCAGATTCACTGTTATGCTCCAACTGCTTTCTACACTCTGGTGACACAAAGCAGCCTTAAATTTAGGACTATTATTGCTTTGCATGTTGGAGCATAGAAAGACAAGCAAAACAGCAATGAACCTGGTCCAACATTTTTTATTCCCTTCAGAAGAAAAAATGCAAATATATTCTAATTTATCAAGAGTTAATGATAACCCCAAAATATTAAGCAATTAATGAAAAATGTTGCCAGAACAAAAATCAAGTTAATTTAATTGGTTTTGTCAGACCACTTTTTGGTTCAAATTATACAATGCTTGGTTTCTATATAAGAGCATAATTGTCCCTTTGACCTTTAAAATAGGGATAGCATATTAATGTAAATGATCTACATGGAGAAAGCGATACAATTGCTTATAGTTGCTACTCCTTTAAAGTTGATATTTGAAAGGTTTACCAGTGTGCTAAAACTAGATGTTCATTAAAGGTATAAGAAAATTGCAAAAACTGTGTTTTGTTCAGGGAACAGTTCTCTAAGATTCATTTTATATCTGTGATGCTCACAAATCAGACAGATTTTAATTACTGTCTTATTAAAAGCTACTACGAAAAGAAAGATCTGAGTGGAAAATGAATGGAAATGGAAGTTGAAGTACAGGAATATGCATCCTTTAACTATCATAGAATCAAAATATTATTTGCTCAATAAAAACTTCTTTGTTTTTTTAATAATTTGATTTGCATTTTAACAATTTGCACCTGCAGGCTTGTTCCAAAAGGCAATCATACAGAGTGGAACAGCCCTGTCCAGCTGGGCAGTGAACTACCAGCCTGCCAAGTACACTCGGATATTGGCAGACAAAGTGGGCTGCGACATGCTGGATACCACTGACTTAGTTGAATGCCTTCGGAATAAGAACTACAAAGAACTCATTCAGCAGACCATCACTCCAGCCACGTACCACATTGCTTTTGGGCCTGTGATAGATGGGGATGTGATTCCTGATGACCCTCAGATTTTAATGGAACAGGGGGAATTTCTTAACTATGACATAATGTTAGGTGTGAACCAAGGGGAAGGCTTAAAATTTGTGGATGGAATTGTGGACAATGAAGATGGTGTTTCCCCAAATGACTTTGACTTTTCTGTCTCCAATTTTGTGGACAATTTGTATGGTTATCCAGAAGGAAAAGATACGCTGCGGGAGACCATTAAGTTCATGTACACTGACTGGGCAGATAAAGAAAACCCTGAAACAAGAAGAAAGACCCTGGTAGCTCTCTTTACTGACCACCAGTGGGTTGCCCCAGCTGTTGCTACTGCTGACCTGCATGCCCAGTATGGCTCTCCAACATATTTCTATGCGTTTTATCATCACTGCCAAAGTGAAATGAAACCAAGCTGGGCTGATTCAGCACATGGTGATGAAGTCCCTTATGTGTTTGGCATTCCCATGATTGGTCCTACAGAATTGTTTAATTGCAACTTCTCCAAGAATGATGTCATGCTCAGTGCCGTAGTTATGACATACTGGACAAACTTTGCCAAGACTGGGTATGTTTATTTCTAACAGCCTTTTCACTTCGTATGATAATTTTGAAATACCAAATATTTTACAGCAATGGTTCCAAATGTTGCATCTCATAAAAATGTTATACCACTGTTTGGAGTCATTGAAGCAGAAAACTGCTCTAAAAGGGGTTTATTTATATTAAGTATCTTTTAAAAATAGTGTTTCCTGTATTAAGTTATTTCCTTTCTCAAGCTGTGTGTGAAAAATGATGCACTGCAGTTTTCATGAAAAATGGCTGCAGTTGTTTTAAAAAGTATCCTTGAGAGTAAAGAGTTGAGCAACAAAATTAAATAAGTTTGTTACGCCAAGAAATCAGTGGTGCAGATCATACATAACCAGAGGATTACATAATAGCCGTCATAAAGAGAAGGTTGTGAAGAGAAGATATATTTGGAAAGATGGACAGTAGGAACATTGCTTTCCCTAGAAATTAGAATCGGAATTAAATGAAGACTTCAGTAATCAAAAAAGGCTCTTACACTAAATCTATAAGAGCTTAAAATAAAAATGTTAAAAAATTGCCAGTTAACTGAAACATAGGAGGGCATCAATGTTGTGCAAATACTGCACTTGTACATAATGTAGACAGAACCTTCAAAGTAGCTTAATCAAAGAAGGCTATTAGCAAATTCTGCATGCAAAATCTTTTCTTCCATAGCATTCCTCTAAACAATATTGCAGTATTTTACTTGAGCAGCAAGGGCTTTTTTGTTAACCTTGAGACTTTGGTACTGAATTAATATAAAGATACCAACAGCACCGAGAGGCTGTAAATCTTTCCAATGAACATTTAATGGCAGGATTGGGCTCTTGAAACTGCAGCTCTACTGCAGTGCAGTGAATAGTATGCAGCAATATAAGTAAAATTCAGAGCAGCCTAGTGTTGTAGCACTCAGGGGTTTAGCAGCTCTCGCTGACTTTAATGAATCCTAATGACATTCTGGAAAAGGAGATTTTTCCATCTTAGCAAAATGATGTGGAGCATGAATTGAGTTAAAAAATAAAATGCTGCATATAAGCCACTTTTATTGGGTATAGACAACACACAGCCTTTTGTGAAATGTTCTTTACAAGCAGGCTTTTCTGTTTGCATAAATTGTGCAGAATTGTGGTAAAAGGGAATAGATGATGGAATATTTAAGATGCAGTTAGTAATGAGAAATCATTGACCCCTGGATGGACAAACTGGTTGTGGAAGGCTGACTTAACTGATTGTGTGATTATATGTGGTGGTTGGCTGCACTGCCAGTCGGCTGCATTGCATAAACTGTGACAACAATAAGAAAAAAATATTTTTCCCTATTACAATATTTTTATTATAAAACCTCCCACCTACATATGTAAATTCAGATCCTTAAAAAAATACTGAACAGGAATAATTATGCAGGATACAAGATCTCTGCTGTGCAGTTATTCAAATTATTTTGTTATTCTTGAAGAACGCTAACAAGTCAGAATTTTTGTCTATTTAGGGCTTATGTGAGCTCCTCATAGCCCCATCTGTCACCATTACTCATTTCACGCAAGTTCCAGGTGCTGCTGCTAGAAAGCTAATTTCAGCAAGATATGATTACCATTGCCCAGTCCTCTGGGTGGGGACCTACAATTGTATTACACCACCTAAAAACAGCATATATGCTCTTGAAGTTTCATTAATCATTTCAAAGAATCCAATTGCTAACACATTTAGTAAATAGAGTTGATACTGAAATATAACAAAGTTCTTATCATGCAATGTACTGTTTTGCAAGCTGTCTGAAAAATGGATTAGAACAAAAGCCCTGAAACTGTAAAATCCCAATCGTCCTAAACAATGGATGTTTTTTGTTTTGTCTTGCTTCTTTTAACTGAAACCCAGCATATCTCTAATTAATTCATCCTTTAATACAAGAAATTCCCTGGGGGATAAATGTAATTATAAGGTTCCAGTATTATATTTGTTCTGGACCTCCAGTAGATTCAATTAAAATAATTAAAAAAAAAGAGAAAGTGGCAAGAAAAATAGCTTCTTTCAGACTGTAAAACCTGAAATATGGGTTATATGGAGGACTTATTTTCACTAAGTATTTTCTACCCACCCTCCCACATACATTTGGACTCCGTATGTACCGTGAGACGTACAACATCAGAAACAACCAGTTCATATTATATGGGTGGGGGGTTCTTTCTTTTTTTTAATTATTGTTTTGCTACTTTATTTTGATATTGTTTGGGGTTTTTCTACCTGTGCCCAAAACAATACAGATTCTGTTCCCTGTGGCTAGGTACAGACTTTAAAAAAAACCTGAGGTAGAATCAGTCTAACTTACAGGTTTTTCTATAAGCAACGTAGTTTGGATGGGTAGCAAACAGAGCACATTTGCCTTTTGGTGGGAGGGGCAAATCTTTAGACGAGGTTGTGCCATTTTTAAACCAGTCTATATATGCCAAACTTCTGTTCTTTTACAGGTATAGATTGGTTTTGTGTGACAAACTTCGGTTCTGTTATAGGGATAGACCAGCTTTGTGAGACAAACTTCTGTTCTATTGTGGTATATAAACTGGTTTCAAATAATTTATATCAGTAAAAGTGTAATGTCTGTTCTTGGTCTGTGAGACCATAACACTCTTAAGGTTCTCTGCACCATAGCTGTAAATATAAGACTGTAGGCTTTTTGTTTGTTTGTTTTAATACCACTGACACTCTTCCAGTCCTGGATGAGTCTCACATTGAGACAGCGTCCAGAAACTTTTACAATTGCTGTTCAGTCAGTGAGTTAGTCTGATACGTCTAAATGACACACACCACTTGCTGCTAAGAGCTGTACATTGTTTAATGTGCCCACTACCAAGACAAAGTTTGGAGGACAGATCAGTGCCATAAAGGCAGTAGGTGTCACAAGCACAGAAGAATCACGATACTTGTAATGTGTTTTACTTTGAAGTCAGCAACAGAATCTAGAAAGTAAGGCATGATAAATAAAGGGTATGTACAGCCATTATATGTAGATTTAAATACCCAATCACATAGGCATTCAGAGGGGTTAAATCAGGCAAAAAATAACACAGCTACCTAATCTAAATTAGTTCACCTGAGTAGGTGCACTGGCTTAGATCAATATTGGGTTAACTCAATTTAGGAAAGGTTTAAACCAATCTTGCAAATGCCTTCATGTGTTCCCAGAACAGCCCCTGGCTGGGAAAACCCAGTTGCTTGCCAGAGCCCTGGGGCTATGCTAATCCTATCTTCACAACCATGACTGGGCTATTTTTAGACCCCTACCGCATGATCAGCAGGGATCATGGTTTTCTCTGTTAAAAAAAATAATCCCCATACTTTTTTGGGGGTATATGTGTGTAGATGTGTGTGTATTAGTAGTGTTTCATTTTATTATCTTGGTCACTCAATCTAGTCACAAAGAGCCTTTGTACATGCCACAAAATTGGCATTTAAAGTGGCTTAAATCCCCTTTTGCACCACTTTAATGGCATTGCTGCTTGTACGTTCAGTGGTGTATTCTGTTTTAATGGCATTGCTGTTTGCACTCTCGGCAGCGTATTCTGTTTTAAATGACTTGGGTGTGTAGCAAGATAAAACACCTCTGAGGTGTTTTAGTTTTCTACCTAACAAAGTGCAACACAATGCATGGGGTGCTAGAAGCCAATGTGCTTGGGGCTTGGCAGGCCCCATGCAGCTCAGGGGCTGTGGGACCCAGCAGCAGCCCATGCAGGCAGGCTCCCCTGAATTAAAACAAAAAAAAAGCAGCCAGCCTGATCTTTTTTTTTTCTCCCTGGAGCCTGTCTGCCTACCTGAGCTGTGTGGGAGCCAGGTGCTTCCCTCCGTGGCTGCAGAGGAGGGAGGCAGTGCTTCCCTCCACAGCTGCAGTGCCTGCCAGGACCGCCTGGGTTGGTGCCAGCAGGTGGGTGCCACCTGGGCAGCCCCCCGTGCAGCTCAGGGACCACTTGATCCGCTGGCAGCTCATCCCCCCTCCCCACCATTGAAGAGGCAGGTAAGGATTGGGCCCCCATCCTTGCGTACTCTCCACAGGGGTTTAGTTCGGTTTAATTCTCCCTAAATTGAAGCGATGTTTTAAAAAACCCGACATTTCAATTTAGGGAGAACTAAACCGAATTAAACGCCCGTGGCATGTACAAACAGCCAAAAGCTCTTACCTATTAGTAGTTGCTTCTTAAAAGTAGGGAAAAATTTATTGAACAATATGTATGAGAAGCAACATTTTGGGAATCATAGTGATGTATTACAGCAATTTAGAAGACAGTATGTGAAAATAGCAATCGATGTTAAACTTTCATTAAGAGGTGCTTCTGGGGCTCCATGTGCTGCTTTATACAATCAAATTCCCATTAAGTTTAGCAGGATTTTTATCAGTTCAAGAAATCAGGTAGTTCCTGAAGGCTTTTTTCACAACTTCCCATTATGGAAAGGGGAGAGGGACAGGAAACATTTTTTGAATTTCCCTGAGGCCATTTATTTATTTATTTTTTGGACTGTGGCATTGCAAGAAATGCTTTGGAGAACAGCAAGAAAGACCTGGAACCGTGACATCACTTAGGTGTACCCCACGGCTTCACAACAGATCTAAGAAGGCATGGCTTTTCATGTGACAGGAACTTCAGCAGCGGAGGTTGGGTACTGAGTCAAAATCTCTCCATAAGAAAACACTACCATGTGAGCTACAGAGCATTGTGGCAATTATAAATAGGAGTTGAAATATTTAAGATGTACTTGGCAACAAGAAAGCATTGAGTCTGGGGTGGAAAAATAGTGGGACATCCTTAGTTCCTGCCTGGGATACATATCTATTGGGAAAGAGTGCGAGCAGAGGCTGCCAAATGACACTGGTCTTATCTTCTCTCATATTATAGACATTACCTTCCTTGACCCTTCACCAGTCCCTTTGCAGTCATATCTATCAGGCCCAGCCTTATGAAAATAAGGCCCCATTTGTATTTTGACCCATTCCCACTCCCCCAATAAGTA